CCACCAGTTGAGATAAGAAGGTCCCAGAATAGAGGAGAGGTTGTCATCCCAAAACGCAAAGCCACGTGGATGTTAGTATGGTTTATAGGGCGCGTTCCTTTCTCACCCACCTTCCACTATACACCTGATCTCCCCCTGAGAATTCTGATTACTTCCTCTCCGCCCCCTCTTGCCCCCACCCCCATCCATATATACACTCTCCCACTCTCCCCCGTCGGAAGACCCCCTCAGGGTGGTCACCGAACATTCCCTTCACACACCTCTACATGTTCAAGCGCCAAAAGACTCCACACCCACCCAAACCCACCCATCCACTCACCCAAACCCACCAAAATCCACGCATCCAAACCCACCCACCCACTAACTCCCCCCACCCACCCACCAACTCCCCCCCACCCACGTTTTCTATTGTGTTGTGCACATCTATCACCTCTGCTTTCCCGCGAGAGAGACTTTGCTACAACTCGTTAAATTAAGCCACTACAAAATAAGGGCCCGCCCCAGGCCCCGTCAGTCATGGTGATTGTTTGACCACATCTCGCCACGCTTGTGAGTGCAGGTTAATTAAAAAAAAAGGCGGGAACCAGGACCGGTAGAGTTATGATTACTCACCACTGACGTTAGCTGTCGCTGGGCATCAAACTCAGATAAGCGGTTTCATTTATGCGGTGAAACAAACCACTGCGTCACCAGTCCCCACAATGAGCTCCTACCCAAGTAAAGAGTGCTGTGAAGGTGAACTCCACTGCCATAGTTCTCAACAATACATCTCCAGATTAGCACTCAGGAGGAAGGATGTATCCAACGCACATCCAATTAACGCGGCTGGCTACGTACGGTGCGAAAGAAGTCCATCGCACGTATGTCCAGGGCACCTACCCATAACCACACACTCGCGACTTGCGTCTCTTGAGCTCTCGATCGGACTTTGAGTCTGATTCGTGAAATATGTGCTGTGTTTTAAAGTGTTTATTTTAGTGATTATTTAGTGGTGTAGGTATGGCAGCTGGTGAACGGAATGTCTGATCTTAACGTATCTAAATTCAAATAGCGCCGCTTTTTATAGCAATTATTTAACACGTAATAGGCTTTCGCGACCAATCATCCATAATAAATGTTGTGTCGTTAAAACCCGCGACCACCCGACACGGCCAACTAGTAAGGGTTGTCACGTAAACAGAACGTGGCCAATTCGTCACTAGTACAGCACACCGGCGTGTTGGAGAGCCAAGCCATGAGATTTACAATCTGAGTACGACGTTTCGCCAGTAATTACAATTAGCTTCATCAGGCGACAGCCAGAAACTAGCTACTACTGGCGAAGACTAATTACGAACGTCCGACTTACGAACACCCCGTCCTTACAAACCAGCTTCCATGAAATATATTTTTCAAAATAGCTTTGACTTAAAACGTGAACTCGCAATTGCAAACTGAACCACGGAACCATGCTGTTCAGAGTTGCGATCGTTCGCGAGGTGATGAGTTGGCCCCACGCTGGCAGTCAGCGTTTGCGTGTGTGTGTGTGAAAGTGAGTGTATGTGGACGTGTGTGTGAAAGTGAGTGTGGAGTGGTCGCGTAGTGGTTAGCGCTATGCTGCGCTACGAACCCGATGACCCGAGTTCGATTCCCGCTCACGGCCAACACCAGTGACGATGATCTGAACTGGTCCTGGGCCTCCCCTAGGTCGACTCAGCCTCAAATGAGTACCCGGTGCGATGTGTAACCATCGCCACTGGGGAGACAAAGGCGGTTGGGCGTGGTGCTGGCCACCCACCCCCTCGTGTACCGTTCTGGCCTTCATAGGTGCTCGCTAACAGCACTTGCCCCTACAGTCTGTTACAGGCTATACGGGGGAACTTTGTTTGTTTGGAGTGGTAGTGTAGCGGTTAGTGCTCCGCTGCGCTGGGGGCCATCCATTTAGTACGTACGCATGGAGGGGGTGGTTAACCCAAATGCGTACACTTACGTATGGGGGGTCTACTGACAATGTTACGTACGCATAGGAAACGGGGGGTTAGGGAACCTCGATAATAATTTGTCGAAATTGGCCTTCAAATGAGCCACAGTTCAGTTACTTCAGCTGTCAGACAACAAGCACTACCGGGAGAAGTGGGAGTGTGGGAGAGGTGTCACTTGTGTAGTGGGTGGGGTGGGGTTTGCAAGCGGTGTGCGGGTGACAGACACTGAGAGGTCGCATCGGGGCGGCCAGGTGCGGTGGTGAGAGGGAGCAAACGGAAAGGAGGCGGCTCTTTAAGATGCATGGCGGGGAAAAGACGCCGGGCAGACCGGGAGATTGAGACGATAACGAGAGAAGCCACGGGCGTTAGGCGACTGTAGGTCGCCTGCTTAATTCACGAGGAGTTAATGAAGAGGGATTTATATACACGGGAGTTTGGGAGAAAGAGTTGAGTTGGTCGGAGAAGAGTAAAGACAAGAGAAGCTAGCAGAGAGTCTAGCTAGCAGTAGAGAAGCTAGCAGAGCGTACAGTTAGCGGTGGATAAGCTAGCAGAGTATATAGTGGAAGGTTAGCAGTAGAGAAGCTAGCAGAATATATAGTGAGATACTAGCAGTGGAGAAGCTATCCGAGTGTATAGTAATAGGCTAGCAGTGGAGAGACTAGCGGAGTGTATGGTGGGAAGCTATCAGAGTGTGTAGTGGTAGGCCAGCAGCAGAGAGAGCAAAGCGAGCGGAGCGTGACAGGCAGGCTAGCAGTGGAGAGACTAGAAGAGAGATGTTCACACACCACACCAGTTACTCGTTTGAGGCTGAGTCGACCTAGGGGAGGCCCAAGACCGGTTAAAATAATCGTCACCGTTGGTGGCTGTGAGCGGGAATCGAACTCGGGTCGCAGGGTTCGTAGCGCGGCTCGCTAACCACTACACTACAATGCATTACGCTTCCAGGTGCGCGGGTCACGTGACAGATTGACGTCACAGCTCAATTGCCGTGCGAAAAATATATGCATTATTGAGCTCCCCCCCAAAAATGTTTTTTTTTAAATAATATTTGCATGGTGTACAGTCTGGAAAGTACCCACATGGCAAATTTCCAGTTTGTTGTATGTCGGGAAGTACGCTAAACATTTTGAACAGACACACAAATTCACAACTTTGCCTTTTATATATATGGAGATTTACTACACAGTATTATTTTACAGTGTTACGTGCAAATGTACAATGTTTCTTAATTGAGTTTAACGATGCTTCCCGTTTTGCTAAACCGTAACACACTTCATAACACCGACCATATAATAATCCGTTATTGTGTTCCTACTTACGAACCGGTCACAGGAACGAATTAGGTTCGTAAGCCGAGGACTGCCCGTATAGCTATTATAATATATAGTTGTACATTATATATTTGTACATACGGTGATAGTGGTTGAGATAAAGATTACTGCGATGGGGGACGCTGTCCAACTGCAAACCACTCTTCATAGCTGGCACCTGAGTGCCTCCGGCCCGTGGGCCCCCGGGTGCAGTGGCAATGCCTGCACACTCGATAGCTACACCGCCGTTGTTACAACTACCATCCCACTACGGTCCTTGGCGCGTATTATTGCTCGCCCTGTAGGTGGGCAAACAATGAAGACAATGTAGGGCGTTGGTATATGTAGTGTAAACATTTGGAGAAAAATGACACATTTTTTTTACATTTATTTAACCAGGTAAGGCCCACTGAGATATGGAACTCGTTTTCAGTAACGACCTGGCCACAATTGATATCTAAACGAAGTGGCTTATCAACGTGTACATTTATAGCAGCCAAATACTCTAAAACGCATGTTTCTAAATGTGGAGGGAAAAACCGGAGGACCCGGAGAAAAATCCACACGACCACGGAAACAGAGAACATGCCAACTCCAAATTTACAGCAGGCGTCAGGGTCGGGATTGAACCCACGAACTCCTGTATACCAGGCGAGGAAGTTAACATCTCTATTGAGAGAGACACGCAAACTCGCAATATACAGCAGGCGTCAGAGTCGGGATTGAACCCACGACCTCCTGTATACCAGGCGAGGTAGTTAACATCTCTATAGAGAGGCACGCGAACTCCAAATATACGGCAGGCGTCAGAGTCGTGATTGAACCCACGACTTCCAGCATAATTCTCAGGATCGGTGGCCACTAGGGGAGGCAGTCATGATGAAAATACCTGATCAGCTACACTCCCCTTGAAGGCCGGGTGTGGTGGCGTGCCCACTCATGTCTTTATGACAACAATCAGAGGTCAAAATGTAAATGTAAAAGTTCCGGCATGAGACCACTTTGTCACACAACAGCCCTCCCACCGTTAACTGTCAGTTTCCCCTCTGCGGAAACATCGTTGCATCGGAGTGGGAACAGTTATATGTATGTTGAACTTTCGTTCGCACCGTACGTAGCCAACCGCGCTAATCGGAGGTGCGCGGTAACGACAACAAAACAGTGTTACAGGTGTATACCGGCTCTGTTCGACCACTTTAAGACTGCTCAACACACAGCTCAAATATATCACTTACAGGTGTAACACACACAGCTCCATGCGTCACTCACTGGTGACACACACACAGCTCCATACATCACTCACTGGTACACACACACAGCTCCATACATCACTCACTGGTACACACACACAGCTCTATGTGTCACTCACTGGTACACACACACAGCTCCATGTATCACTCACTGGTACACACACACAGAGCTCCATGTATTACTCACTGGTAACACACACACAGCTCCATGCGTCACTCACTGGTACACACACAGCTCCATGTGTCACTCACTGTTACACACACAGCTCCATGCGTCACTCACTGGTACACACACAAAGCTCCATGCATCACTCACTGGTAACACACACAGCTCCATGTGTCACTCACTGGTAGACACACAGCTCCATGCGTCACTCACTGGTACACACACAGAGCTCCATGCATCACTCACTGGTACACACACACAGCCTCATGCATCACTCACTTGTAACACACACACAGCTCCATGCGTCACTCACTGGTAAATGTCCATGACCAGCTCAGTGCCCAGGACGAAGACCTCCTCCAGGACCTTGTCCAGCTGCAGGTGGATTGTCCGAGTCGTGGCCATGTTGTCCTCCGCACGCCTTCCTTCCTACTGCACCTGCAAAACACGACGGGGCAACTCAAGCTAAGAAGAGCAGCCGCTCGGGATCACGTTATCAGCTGCTTGTTAAGGCTCTTTAAATAGCCAGGCGTCTTATATGGGGGGTCGTGAGTCACGACTGTTTGTCGGCGCGAAAGATAAGGAATGGCGCCCTAGTGCTTATTGGTTCATGGCGATGTAATTGTACCTGGGAGGGCTGGGAGGGGTGGTGGGCGGAAGAGTGGGGGAGGGGGCAGGGATGGAGGAGAGGGGGTAGAGATGGAGGGGGGGGGGAAGTGGGTAGAGATGGAGGGGAGGAAGGGGACAGGGATGGAGGGGGTAGGGATGGAGGGGGTAGGGATGGAGGGGAGGGGGTAGGTATTGAGGGGAGAGGGGAGGGGGTAGAGATGCAGGGGAGGGGGTAGGTAGGGAGGGGGCAAGGATGGAGGGGAGGCGGTAGGGATGGTGGGGAGGGAAAACCCGGAGGACCCGGAGAAAAATCGACGCGACCAGAGAGAGAGAGACACGCATACCAGGCGAGGGAGATAACATCTCACCACCGTGGCACCCCAAACGAACCCGGGGCCTAAGCAAAACCACTGCCTTGCACCTGTTTGCATGGATAAACATTTGCCTTTCCAAAACGTCAGTGCAAGGCACTGATCTCATGCCTTTCTTAACACACCGAGCCCTAATGTTATCGCCACACACACCGCACTGTTAATGCCACTGATGCCGTGCGTCTTACTTTGTAGCCTAAATCTCCAGAACCAATAGTCAAAGGAGCAAACCAAAAGTCTAAAAAAACACGCTTTCCACAAAACTGTTTTTTTTTATTTTAGATGACGTGATCTGGAGAGCAGTTCTAAAAACGTTTCATGGGGTCATTGTTTTTGTATGTCCTGTATGTATGTATATGCACCTCCGATTCGCACGTTTGGCAACGTACGGTGGGAAAGAAATTCAACATACATATGTATTTTTGTTATCATTGCTCGTCAGAGACACCTATTGACGGTGATTGAATTAAAATATACATTTTATTACTCACCAAACTTCTCTTGTGCATTGATGTGAATCAGTTTGCATAATCTTCACTATCCAAAATAGATCTGGCTGGCAATTCAGCAGTATTGATTCTAGCAAGTCTGACACTGCCGATGAGACACACTGTCGAAACCGGTCCAGAGTTTGCTTTACTGTATTTTGGGTCAATGCTTGCTGAAGTTAGGCAACCCCAGAAGACCGTGAGGTCGTTGCATGTTTTTAAAATATACTTTTATATGTTTTATGTCGAGAGACAGACATCTGGGGGAGACATTGTCTGCTGATCTCTTATATTCTCCACAACGGTGCTAATGAGTAGTTTGTGTTTTGCGCCATCCAGACCATTGAATGATGTTTGTCCATCATTCCGCTTGTAACCAGAGAGCCAACAGAAGTATCACCATACACAAAACACAGCCTTAAACGACCACACAAAGGTATTCCCTACACAAAGGCAAATATCCCCCATATAGCCTATAACACTGTTGGGGCAAGTGCTGTTAGCGAACACCTCTGAAGACCGGTACGGCACACGAGGGGGTGGGTGGCCAACACCACACCCGGTCGCCTTTGTCTCCCTAGTGGTGATGTTTTACACCCGGCACCGGGTGCTCATTTGAGGCTGAGTCGACCTAGGGGAGGTCCAGGACCCGTTCATATAATCGTCACTGTGGCCGTGAACGGGAATCAAACTCGCGTCGCCGGGTTCGGAGCGCAGCGTGCTAACCGCTACACTACCGCTCCCCGACACACAAAAAGACAAGGACAAAGATCCCCCGTCTAGCCTTAACAGACTATTGAGGCAAGTGCTGTTAGCAAGCACCTATAAAGGCCAGAACGGCACACGAGGGGGTGGGTGGCCAGAACCACCCACGGCCGCCTTTGTCTCCCCAGTGACGATGTTTATTACACACCGCACCAGGTACTCATTTGAGGCTGAGTCGACCTAGGGGAAGCCCAGGATCGGTTCAGATAATCGTCACCGATGTTGGCCATGAGCGGGAATCGAACTCCGGTCGAAGCGCAGCGCACTAACCGCTACACTACCGCTCCCCGACACACACACACAACCACACTCATGCACACATCACAAACATAATCAGCCACGATCTATCCACTGCTGCATCAAGGCCTGCCCAAGCTGTTGCAACCTCTCACGGTCTTGCGATGCAGCAGTCCGCCTCGCGTGCCGCACACAAAGTTCCGTTATCTGTGGTGGGCAACTTTGTAGGTGCCAGAGCAACGAAGCCACTCCGTCAGTGCCGCGCCTGCGGCAATGGTGCTGCAGCAGCGGGGCCGCCCGGCCGGCGCCGTGGTAGCAGCGCCACCCCCTGTGGTGCCACGGCAGCGAGGCCGCTCCATCGGAGCCGTGCCTGCGGCGGGGGTGCTGCAGCAGCGGGGCCGCCCGGCTTCCGTCGCGGCGCTTCCCCCACCACCCCCCACATGAACACATCCCACACACCCCACATAGAGCTCCCACATGAACACACACACCCCCCACATGAACACACACACACACCCCCCACACACACACCCACATAGAGCCCCCACATGAACACACACACACCCCACATAGAGCCCTCACATGAACACACACACACATAGAGCCCCCACATGAACACACACACACCCCCACATAGAGCCCCCACATGAACACACACACACACCCCCCACACACACCCCCACATAGAGCCCCCACATGAACACACACACACACACCCCCACATAGAGCCCCCACATGAACACACACACACACCCCCCACACACACACCCACATAGAGCCCCCACATGAACACACACACCCCACATCGAGCCCCGAGGGGAGGTCACCTGGCCGACAGGTTTTCACACGGAAGCCCTCTCATGGGACCAATCTTCACAGTTTCCTGCGACCAGGAAATTGGGCGACCTCCCCCGAGGCTGACTCGCACCACGGCGCCGTGACCTGGATGCTAGTTGCATGGTCACAACGGGGCTGCTCAGCCGCCACGGATAGAGGGGCACACTCGACACGGGTCAGCAGGCAGGTAGGGGGTGGGGCGGAGTAACGAGCGGCAGGAAGAACAGGGCGGCCCTCTGATTGGCAGGACGAATGCGCTTGCTTAAAGAGTTAAAAGCGGACGTCGGAGAGAGCACCGATCTGATTAGACAGGAGCGGGAAATCCGAGGCTCCTGATTGGACGAGAGGCCAGCGGATTAGCGGCAAGTTATCTTTGATGTAAGGACAATAAAAAGGGCAGGGAAGGTAGGGGCAGTCAGTCGTGTTCTTCTGGGGTCAAGGATCGGAGGAGTCATCGTGCCTGCCACTAGATCGTCCATGAGACGAGTCGCAGCGCAGCCAGGCCCCGTTCCCAGCGAGGACTACGTGCAGCCTCGCCTTTCCACGACTTCCTACACCTCGGAGTCGAACCGTGAGTACGCAGGAGGTGAGATTACGGGGAATATCCTTAGGGAGAGTGATTAGGGAGAGACAGGACAGATTGAGTCCTAGACCACCGGGAGATAGGTTAGACCTGCCCTGCTGGCCCACACTGACACGGGTAGTTTAGCTTCGTTATTCGCGGAGAATAAATCGCCAGTAGTCAATAAACCTTGTCGTGTCGTCCCTGCGAGTGCGGAGAGGAGTGAATGATGCTGTGAGCCTTCTCGTTGTGGTATCCTGTGTTTGCGCACGAGCGTGTATTTTACCCGCGTGTGTGCGCTCGCCGCTGCGTGTAGCTCGTAGTTAACATGTACGCGAGGTAGACGGGCATCGTGCACGCGAGATCACCTGTGCCGCCTCTGCTTAACGTGTGCGCGAGGTAGACGGGCGGCGTGCACGCGAAATTAGCTGTGTAGCTCGTGGTTAGCGTCGGCGAGAGGTGCACGGGCGGTGTACCCGCGAGGCTGTTCATACAGCCCTTTAAACCAGCTCCGGGGCACCTCCTCCAATCGGTTGCACGCGTACGAGTGACGCCCCTGCCCTCTGACCCCCGACCCCGGGTCCCGCGCGTGCGATTGGTGCACGGCGCCGGGCAGGTAGCCGCGTCGAATTTTGGTGGCTGCGGGCGCATGAGTGTGCGCGACTGCGTACGGCGTGCATAACGTTTAGAGGATCACGCGAGGGGGAGTGTGTGCGAATTGATCCCAGGTGGCTACACGCCAGCCGCGGATTATGCCAAGAGGGACTGCGATGAGGGGGGGGGGGTCGGAGGGCAGTAACCCTCCCCCGAGCACGCGAGAGGAGAGCCACGGCTTTCCAGGGAGCGAGGAGTCGGAGGTCAGCCTCCCCGACAACTTCTCTGGGCGTTGTCTCCTTCCGCTGCCGCTTCGTTGCTAGTCTCGACATCTCAAATCCGTGCATGTTCTCTAATCCGCGTGTTACTCCTTCGGTTTTAGTTTTATCCCGCACATACACCCCTCCCAGGTTTATTTGCACACTTTTGATCCTGTTCCGTTTTTTTTATCAAGATCATGTATATGATCTACTATCTCGATATAAAATATGTACCCCATTTAGCCTATGGACCCTGCAGCATTATGTGCAGTTCGTGAGCACTGATGAAGGCCTGGCACCGCTCACACAGCACCAGGTACTCGTTTCAGGCTGAGTATACCAGGGCAGACTGGCATACACATTTTCATGAATGTGCATAGGTAGGAATCGAACCCAGGTCAAGTTTATATTGCATCATTATCCTTAATGTGACTATCATTAATGTGCCTATCAATACACACACCGGCACACCTACTTCAAAACACATTCCATAAAACAGACTAAAACTAAAAACTGTTTTTATTTTACCAGATAAGGCCCACTGAGCTATACAGCTCCTTTTCAGAAGTGACCTGTCCACAAATGATTGCTTAACAAAGTGCCTTATCGTGTGGAAATGTAAAGCAGCCAAATACTCTAAACGCATGTTTCTAAATGTGGAGGGAAAAACCGGAGGACCCAGAGAAAAATCCATGCGACTACGGGGAGAACATGCAAACTCCACATATACAGCAGGCGTCAGGGTCAGGATGAAACTCACCACCTCCTGTATACGAGGCGAGGTAGTTAACATCTCGCCACCGTGGCACCCATACATCTGCACATCCTCAAGATATCTCTCTCACACACACACGCACACACCTTTACGCACGGTGCAATATTTAGACACAAACAACAGA